GGGGCACAAGGTGTGGAAAGCTGGGAGGGTGGGCAGAAGATTGGGGTGCCATGCTGACCGCACTGGCCAAAACAACAAGCAACAAAACCGAACAGAACAGGACTTGCATGAAAAAAATAAAAGACAACGAGCACGAACAAACATCACAAGCAGGCCTTCCTGAGAGATGAGCTCGTGACACGGAAGTGTGTGTAAGATAGATGTTGGTAAATATATTTATTGATGCTAAGACTAAGTGTTAATACTTGCTAGTTATCTCAAATACTAATATCTATCCAAGACATGAGCTATGATCTATGATATGAGCAGAAAAAGTCCAGAAAAACAGTTTTACCCAGCATTTCTCTGTTAAGGTTATTAAAAAAGATAATATCTTATATTACCTCAAGTATATATAATAGATAATAACGATGATAGCTCTTTTCATACCAAGTGTGTTTGATCTACCTTTAATAGATCCCGAGTTACTTGGTAACATCTTATACTCCCTCTAGTAAATCAATTGATGTAATAACACAACGTGTAAGTCCACATAATGGATTTTAAGGATCAAAACTCCTTCTATACCAAATTGGGTTGATATACCTTTAATAGATCCCAAGTTACTTGGGTTATATTAGATATATCTCAACTTACCCCAGATTTCACCAGTTTAAGCTGCTTAAATATACCATTTCGGTGAGTTGTATGAACATTCTTCAGCGTATATAGTAATCAAATGGGCATCGCTGTGGCTAAAAAGGGGACTCCCCGAAAGAGAGGGGAACACATGGAGTGAGAGAGATGGGGAAACCTCGGCCTGGGTCAGTTCGCACGTTCATTTGCGCGCTCGTTTGCTCTTTAACAAATGTGCGCTGCTTTTCATTACGTATGACAGCAAATAGTACAATGGAATATGGAATATGACATGCAGGCGATAAAGTTATGCCGGAGACACACCAAAAGAGCGGAGAAAATGGGTGCGGGGGCGGCGGTGTTGGTTTGCCTGTGAAAGGTGAGGCTGAAAGGTGAGCAAATGGGTGTTAGTGTGCCACTTTGCCAGCGAGCCAGCACACACACACACACAGAGGCACACACGTTCAATGAGAAAGGACCAAGCAGAAAGGGAGCAACACCTCCTGGAGAAAGGTGGAGCAGCAGGCCACAAATGCTACTGCGGTAGTTGTGCTAATTTGTTTGTTTGTCGTTATCATTTTCCATCCGTTCTCCGTTCTCCGCCCTCTATCCTCCATCCACCGCCCGCCACCCATCGGCCATATCCTTTGTCCCAGACAGCCGCACAAAGGCACAAAAGCAAAACGACAGCCAGAGGAAGAGGTCAGCGAAAACAGAGAAAGCCAGTGTCAGAGGAAGTCGAGCAGAAGGACAGCGAGCCGGAGAAAGGTGAGCTAAAATTGTTAATAGCCGGATTAAAGTCTTGACCCAATCCAAGATTTACAACTCGCCTTCTCTTATAATTCTCAACCTACTTTTCAGAATCGAAACACTTAAGAGAGGTCATCATTAATTAATCTGCGAAAGGTTTTTCATATATTATTATTTTGAACTAGAATTCTAGTTAGTAAGATTTAATAAGTTATTACCAACATTAGTTGGTTAAATTAACGTACATCATTTGGCTTAAGCCAAGGGGCATTTGATTTTTAATAGGTCACGAACTTCTGGCTCCGCTTCTTAAGCCAATCCTTATAAATTGACATCCAGGGCTTTATCAGCTTCATAAACTAATACAGACAGTTCCCCTTCACTTTCACCAATGGCACGCACTTGTTTTCCCCGAATTTTCCCCCCGATCGCCCACCCACCAAGGAGTGCAATGCCAAATATGCGGAAAAAGCTGGGAAAAGTCCTTGCTTGCCAACTGGTCATCAGATCTGATAGAGTGAGACAGAAATGGGGGGATGGTAGGCGAGAGGAGTGGGCGAGTGTCTATGTCTGGGCATTGTGTTTCCCATTTTCCGTTTCCCGTTAGTTCGTCTTTAGCTTTGGCTGCGTGTCAAACGGTAAATTTGTGCAGCACTCCCTCTCTCTCTCCCGCTCTAGCAATCTTGCCAACTACAGTGGTTACTGGAAAGGAGAAATGGTATCGGAAAATCACTTGTTGTTAAGTCCTAAAAATTCTAGATAATTTTAGTAATTTATTTTCTTCAAGATCATACTGCTATATATTCTTAAGTTTCCTCAAGATATATACTTAGATGGAGAAGTAAAAAGTAGTTGATCAGAACCTTAAGATAATGAACACCTTTCACTGATAGTCAGGATATCATACATATAGCCCAAGAACCAAAAAAGATTACAAAGATATTAAGGTCCTTAACAGCAGTAAGTAAGTAACTATGTGGTCAGAAATGAACTTATACTAGTTCTTCCATCTTATCCAGCTTTTACTGTGCCGTGCATTTTGTGTTTTGTCGCGCATATTAATCATAAAGCGGACACGTGTCGCTTTACGCACGTCTGCTGGCTGCGGATGCGGATGCGGAAGACAAGAGACTCTAGCAAGTAACCCGACACCCCCGCGCCATTGCCCCATCTTGAGTACTGTCCGCGTATTAGATTTAAGCGCGTTATAAATGAGCCAGGCCAATACACAAACACACATAATTTCTGGCTCCTCTTTTACTTTGGCTTTCGCCTGCTCATAAATCAAAATTTCTCGTTTTTGGCATTTTTAAAGGCCATAGAACTAACAGTGGAGTTTCTCTGGGTTCGGTGGCTCTTTTTGTGGATTGGGAGGGGGCTGGGATGGGCCAGGAATGGACAGCCCTTTGCTGCTTTTACTGTCCATGACGGATGATTGGATTTTATGTTGATTACGAAAATGTCTGGGACTGTATTTGTGTGTGCAAGTCGAATATTTGGCTTTGCCTTTCACAGATATCTTTTATTTCCCCCTGAAAAAATTAGGCAAAAGTATTGCAAAGGGTATCAAAATGGGGTAGCTAAGGTTTATAGTTTATACAAAATGGTTTAGGATTTTACTTCATATGTGAGGTGGCGTTTTGCAAATCAGTTGGCAGCCCTACTAATATCGAATAGAGTCTAGTATCGATGAGCCCGTTGAGAATGTCCAGCACTAAGAAGTAGAAGCCGTCGAAATAAAGTTGAAAAGTTTGAGTTGGTTAATCAGCCGAAAAGTCAAACCTTAACCTAAACCTAAAAACCTTTTTCCTTGAATAAATACATAGATAGTAAATGCCTCCAATCAACGGAGCACATGCTAAGTATCAACCCGTCTAGCTCTTGATGTCAGCCAGCTTTTCCTTAGTTTTACCCCCATCTCCGCACTCCTTACTCGTATTACCAATTTCAGACCAGCCCGAAGAGAACTGCGGCATTATGCTAGGGGGATGGTTGGTTAGGGTTGGGGTAACTGGGATGGATATATCACATGGATATTCCGGTTATTATTGGCCATATTTTAATGCTCTCGCTGCTTCGTCTGTTTTGGCCCAACCGAGATTTGTCGTAGTCCATTTTTGATTTATTTATGTGTTTATTTGCCTTGTTTTTGGCTTTGCGTCTGTGATTACTCATGGCTCCATGGCTCCATAGCTCCATGGCTCCCTGTTCGCCCGTTGTTCTGGGGCGGCTCAAATTCGATTTGCATATTATTTTATTTGCATTTTACATAATAATTTAATTTTATTAGTTTTGCTGCATCATCAGCCTGATGGTCCGTTGCTGCTCAAGACTGCCAATCCCAATGCCTCTCCCTAATGGCACCTTGGTGGCCATTCCTTCCTTCCCCCAAAACGATATTGTTCGGTATATACTTTGAGGTCATCGTCCGACATTTCGTCGTCGTTTAATTTGATTTTTCCTTTATTTTTATTTTTTGGTTTTTTTTTTGGCGCTCTTTTGGGGACACTTAATGCGAACTACGCCCACTCGCCATTGGCTGGGTGTACACGAGTATACTATAATTTCTAGTTGCATTTCTGGGCATTTATTTTCATGGCTTACTTGTAGCATATTTCGCTGGCCACCACATTCATTAAACTTTGCGGTGCAGGAGGCTAAGAGGGCCAGCGGGGAGGGGGCTTAGGGTCAGGGGTCAGCGGGTTGCTGCATGGATTGCCCGACAATTGCCGCAGTCTTTGGAGAGTCTTCCCAGCGCGACGGTCAGTCGTAAATTAGTTGCGAATGGCAGCAGTAACACCATCAACAACAACACCACAAAACAACAATGCCAACACCAACACCAACAACTACAACAACGACAACAACTATAACAACGACAACTGAAAAGTTGCAGCACCGTGCAGAGGGAGAAAAGTTCAAAAAGTCGAAAGGAAAAGTTCAGGAAAAGTGTGAGGTGAAATTATTATCAAGTGCTTGCCACGAAATTTGTGGTTACCTTAAATTGGTGCACCTGTTTGCGCTGAAGCGAGAGTGTTGTAATTTAACATATCCACATAGAAGTACGAGCAGAGTTTCCCAGACCAATTATTCCCATTTCAAAGTTTTCCACTCGTTTACAGTGAGATCTGGGACGTAGTTGGAGCTAATAAGCGTGTTAAACGATTGATTTAATCAAATATTAAATTAAATGCCAACTTAAATATACTTACTATTCTAATAGTACTTTATAGAGAGTTCCAAGGCAGTAGTTTGAATTAATTTTCATACGCCGAAATTCCGCCATTAAACAAGCAAAAACGCTATAGTTGAGTGGTACTTAGACTTAATCATCTTGCGACCAGAAATTTAGGCAGTGAATAATGTTCAACGTTGAATTACTGATGGTGAGATCTCAGCTGGATCACGGGCCAGATCTAATCGGATAACTTGTTCACAGTTTTTGAGGGTAAGGAACATCTTGTTATCTTCCTGTTGAGCTTATCATGATTTATACGTTTCGTATCACAAATTGGAAAGTGATTTTCCTGTAAAACACAGTGGCCTTTGAAAACAACTTTAAACGAAACTCAACTTTATGACGAACCGATCCTATGAATTCCCATAACTATTCTGACTTTCATAGAAGTAACATCAAAATAAAATTTTTATTTTTTTAGTCTTTAGAAGTATATTTAATAATTATTTTACCGAAATGGGGTGAGTGAGATTGTTAATACAGAAGGGCATAAGATCTTCCGCGAACACTGCAAAGACTCCGTTTGGCTAAAGTGATATCCAACAACAGGCTTATCCTGACCTTTATTTTCGGATCTTCTAAATGAATCTCCATTTACAGAAGAGCCAAAGTAGAGACCAAGAAAGTCTATAAGGGAAGTAAGAAGCGTGGTATATACAAAGACAAGTTCCAATCCTTGAAGTTCCGTGAGGGAAGGAAGGGGGTCAACGACTCCCCGGACTATGCTGGAAGAGCTGGAAGGAAAATGGCCACGCCTGGACTTGAGGATCGGCCTGCCTCAATAATATGTTAGCTCACGTCCAAAGCCCGAGCAGAAAGGACAAGTTTTATCAAAAAGAAAATGTTACAAAAATATATTACAAAAGCCTTGTTACGAAGAGGTAAGGATTGTGAAAGTGTCCTCTTGAATGCCTAATTAAAGCATTTAGGATTATAGATCTCAGGATATCAAACATTTCTTTCGAATTTTTGGACTCCAACAACTTACGTTAGGACCCTCTATGAGTAAATTGAAATGGTAAAAAGACAGCCGAAAGTTTCGAAGAAAACCATCACTTTCTCACATTAACCAAGCCTTGGTAACGGGAGAATAAAAAATCAATTTTGTGAGCAACTACTGGGTCTACTAATAAATAAATAAAAATAATCTTGATATCAGCAAAGTATTCAATGAATGTTTAGGCTTTTTGAAAATTACTATTCATTCAAATACCGCCAATGATTTTATGTACATATGTATGTATGTAATTGATAAGGATCGACTTTTAATGTTCTGTGACGGAGACCTCCAAAACTCACTATGTTCATGATTTAATCCTAAGCGAACTTTTTCATCGTTCGATGAGGTTTCATTTCGAACATAAATCACAGTGATGAGTAAAAATAAATTCATTTTGCCGTACACATTCATCTTGAGTCTTAGCAGGGTTTGCATTTACTACTTTATTTTTCTTGTGCTACGACACTCGCGTACTTTTGTCTTTGTCTTGACTACTCTTCTTTTCTTCAAAAAAATGAGCATGTGTTGACGAAAACATCATTCGGATCAATTTGAGTTGATCGAGTTTTGAGTAAACGGCAGTGTTGCCAGGTGATGAGCGGTTGTATAGGCTAGATTTTTGGAAAAAAAAAGGTACAATAAGTTAAATTTAAGAAAAAAATGCTAAGAAACAAGCTGCAGCCAAATATGAGAAAACATGAAACCTTCATGTGGTGGCAAAAATTATTGTGGGATATGTTAATGATTAGGTCTTTAAACTTCCATTGTGACAGTTTCCGAAAGAAAAACATCAATTCAAAGGTTATTGTCGATGAATTTATAAGGGTTTTTTTTGTATGTGTGAACAATAATCTTATTAAATATCTTATTATTAAAGCTTATAATATGTTCTTAGAGTTTGTATTTAAATTAATAGTTTTCGTGATCTTAATCGTAACTTAAATATTTTTAATTCTTTTTATAGGCACGTACGTTTGGCAACATTTCCCATGCCTGTGCCTCCCACACTATCGATTAGAAATAAACTGCACATAACCATCGTCAAAAAAAAGGACAAGCTCCGATATTTTCATGCCATAAAGAATATTTTTCTTACAAAACAAACCGTTGATGTCGCAAATCAAAAGCAAATTTAAAGCTGAAATATGCTAGATGTGTTTTAAAAAAGCTATATATAAAGCTGTAAGTTAGATGCAAGTTTTACAAGCTTTTCAGTTTCAAATATGCTAGAACTAGCTTATAATAGCTAAACTGGCAACACTGATGTACAGTTACAATTTCTATGCGAGCTTCTTTCAGCGTGTTGTTGTAGCTTGTTTTTGTTTTCGTTCTTTTTAGTCAAATTCTTCGTTTGGCGATGACTTGCATTACATTTTTGTAGTTCATAATTAGTTTTTGATCGATATGTTGCTGTTCTTTGATCGATATAGAATGGATGGATATGGAAGGAATATAAGGGAATATAAGGGATAAGGGAAATAAGGGAAGAAGCAATATTTGGAACATATTGACAGAAATTGTGATGGAGGATGTCGTTGTTCTGGATGGATTTATATACTGCTGGTCTTGTCATGATCTTGTGAAATACTCACAGAAGCAGTCTTCAAATTTAAGCTGCAAATTAAAATAAATTAAATGCTGCAAGTTACTTAAAGATACAACTTTGCGAACTTACTGGAGCTGCACTGCAGTGACCAAAAAAGGGTACGCAAAAGCCGAAAGACTGCATTTCGATCGCTCTGATTACAAACTCGGGGAATATAAGAGATGAGTAAGCAAGAGAGGATCGAAAAAGTCTCCGTGAGAACCTTTTTCGCTATCATTTGCTATCAAAGTTTTATTAAAACAAACAATCGCTGATGCCATTTAAAATTTAACAATTTTGTTATTGCTGCTCCGAACACTTGCTTCGTCAGGGTTTCCCATCGTATAAAAACCCTTTATATAATTTTTTGTAAACTGTGATATCCGCATATATCCGTATAAACTAACAGGCAACTTAGCTTAACAAGCTCGTTCGATTTGATAATAGTTCTAGTATAAATAATTACATGTCCTGAGTCCAGCGTTTCCAATCATGTTATTACCATTACAATCTGAAGCATTGGAAGAGCCCAGTCTGTTAATATGGGTAGAGGCTGCGTAGTGAGTTATAATACACCGGCTGTCTGCAGGTGGGACAAGCAAAGCAAGATCCCAAGTGCTGGAAGATGCACTTCGCACCGAAAACATGGCCGCATTTCAAAGACATCGGAAAATGGTCGCCATCGAGATGCCACCGGGAAAGGCAGATCGGACAAGAGTTCTCCTTGTGGATTTGATCCAATTCTTTTTTCCTTTGGGTCAAATCTTGAATCTCCAATTTGAGTCTTGCGTTCGATTCCACCAATGCAATCTTTGATTCTTTGAACTGCTCAATTCTCTTGCGCATTCCATCATTAAGCATCGTAATGCTATTCATGTACATCAGTCGGTCCCGGTCATTGTCCATCTTCCCCTTCCGGAACCCTTGCTGAGTGGGTTCCTTGCTCCTAGAGGGCCCTGGCGATGGGCCTTTCTCCAACTTGGCGGCTGCCTGCCGAAGTTTCTCGCTCAAGTCATCGCGACTCTTCTTCAGTATAGTACTAAGCGTAGCCTTCGAAGTCGAGGGCTTGTCATTTTTCGATTTGGGCTTCATTTTTCGTAGGTAAGGACTTATGGTTCTTCGACTATATATCTTAAGTACGGAAATAATTTTTATTTTATTTCACAGAGCACAGAAAACTAACCAGAGCAAGGTCCTCACTTCAGCAGGAATAAAAAATTATGAGCAGCTTAGTATGACATATGTCAAAATGGCTTTTATTTCCTTAAACCGGGGCACTTGATGTTTTTCATTAGTCATTGATACACCTTTTATAATAATTCCAATTTGAACTCTTCTAACTCTGCCCACAGACCTCCCATACTGACAACGGATCCGAAGTTAGTCTTAAAATCTCTCATATTGTCATATAAATTCATTACTGATTACATCATTTATTCTACAGCCTGAAGCCGACTAATTCCTAAGCCTTGATCACTTGACTTTATACGTTGGCGGCCAGCTATTATACCACTCGTCTTGGCTTCGAACCACTTGGCTACCAGGAATTAGAGACCGGAGAACGACGCTTCGCCAAGCATGCCGTCCGTCGGAACAAGATCGTCTTTGTTTTCGTCTCTGCTTATACTCCGGATGACAAGGAGCAGGGACTGCACCTGAACCCCCCGTTATTGTCACGGTGTCAAGGATGTAGCCTTCGAAGTGGAGGATTTGCATGTCATCTTTACGCTGGCGGTGTCCCGTGTAGCCCAAGTGGTTCGTGACATCTGGGGGGAGAGCGATGATCAGGGATTCGTAAGATTTGCTACCATCAAGACCGTAGGTGAAGTGTAATTTTCATCTATGAACAGTTATATTATTTATAAAATAAATCTAAATCAATTCCACACTTTTCATATTGTACAGTGATATCACTCATACTTTCGTAGAGCAAAATGGTTATGCTGGGGACTTCCCGCCCGGATTCCAGAAATCTGTAGAGCCACCAAACTAAACTTCTTTGCTCATGTGGTGTGCAACCAGCCGGATCTGTAAATGGAGATTACGGATTCCTGGTACGAAAGAATCTAGCTCCATCACTTCTGGTCGGTGGATGACTCTCAGATCGACAGTTAGTATTCCGCCCAGCGATCTATTGTGATGGCCAACTACGAGGGGACGGTGAAGATGCCAATCAATAGGCCGGCCAATAGAAACAAGAAGTCACAGATCCAGGACTATGTCGAGTACTACGGTGGTGGCGGTGTCCAGCACATTGCTCTCAACACGGATGACATTATCCAAGCCGTGAGCCACACCCCTCGTACTATGAGCTGCTGCAGGAACAGCCTTTGCATAGCCGTACCAACATTAAGGAGGACATGCAGGTGCTTAAGAAGTTGAACGTTTTGACTGACATTAATGAGAACGGACATCGTTGCAAACCTTTACGAAGAACAGCCAAGACAGGCCCACTCTCTTCCTCGAAGTTATCCAACGTTATAATCCCAATGTTATTCATGCATTGCTTAAACTTTTCTAAGAAAAGTCATTGACAATTTTAGCTATTTCAGGGATTTGGCGCTGGAAACTTGAAGTCTTTGTTCACGGCCATGGGAATTGACCAAGCCAAACGTGGTAACTTGTTAAAGAAATGAGTACCAACATATAAAACTAATAAATGAAATGGTCGAAATGGAAGAACATATTTATTTCTTTAATGTCATTTTTCCTTTTTGCTGGTCCCTAAACCCTTTGTTTATCAAAAGCTCGTTACAAGGATCGTCTTCGGCAAAGGTAACCATGTAATGATTCCAGAATCCCGGTGGCGTGGGACTACGTACATTTACGTTTAAACTGTTGGCCAAATACAGTCAGAATTGAGCCCATGAAATTTATCAACTAAGTGAAAGAAATTGGTAAAATATAAATGAGTTTATGAAGGACGAATTGTACAAACATCTTTTCCCGACAATTCAGGTTCTTCTTTGACCAAAAAAGGCCGCGGAAACTCCTCCTCCGAGTCAGTTGTATCCTTTTCTTTTGTTTCCATTAGATACTTATCCTGCAAGAGTTTTGTTGATTCAATATTGAAACGATCTTTTGCCGACAATTCAGGTTCTTCTTTGACCAAAAAAGGGAGCGGAAACTCCTCCTCCGAGTCCGTTGTATCCTCTTCTTTTGTTTTCATTAGATACTTCCCGGTATCCTGCGAGAGTTTTGTTGATTCATTGCCCACTTCTATTTCTGGCTGCGATACGGGTTCGGTATTAACAGCTTTTACAACTGGAGTGGCTTTTTCCACTTTAGTTCGATTTGATAGACGATGCTTCTGCTGGTCAATCATGTCTTGCTCAAACTGCTTTAAGGCGCTTGAACAGTCTTCGTCGTCGTCCTTCATAATTTCGGCAAGAACATCCATGGTGCCCATTGACTTCTTCTCAAAAGTGGACTTGCTGGTGATATTACGACTGCTGGTAGTAGGCAAGTCGTCAGCGCTTAAGACGCCCACGTTGCCCGTCCTGCAAGCTCAGTTTTTACAATCAAAACGAATGATAACTAAAAGAGTCACATAAATCTTTACGAGGATATAGAATTTGATCGGTTATCTAACAATCTAACAGAAATGTATCTTAATTAGGAAAGATTTCTGTGATATATTTTAGTATATAGTATTCATAAATACCTTTGCACTAAAGGTCTTGGGGGCCAAGACCTTTTAAGGCTCAAACTGGGGCTGCTTTCCTCCATCAAATCGTTTTTGGTAGTGCTCGTCTGAACTGCTTTGAATTTAAGGCGTGTTTGTTTTAAGTTGGAACTTTTGTGAGGTAGTGACAATTTGGGGAGAACTCCTGCATTATTGGACGGCTTACTAATCCAAACGTTGCTTGTCTGCTTTTTTAAATTCCGGATGTTCGGCTTCCGGTTAGGTAGTTGCAGTTTACGCGGGCTTGGTACGTTAGTCTGCGTTTCCGCAATGATTTCATCTTCCTTCATTTCCTGATCCTCGTCGGAAAGGTCAATACTGCTAATGGCTATGTTCACGTTCAAGGAATCCTGGCTTTGTGGCTGCGGAGAAATGTCATCCTTAATCATTTTTAGCGACAGTAACCTGCGTTTTCCTGCGGGAATTATGAATTCCTGACGATCTTTTAGCAAGTCCAACTCCTTGTGCAGCTTTTCATTGCGGGCCTGCAGGTTTTCTATGGTCCGGGCGTTCTCCTCCGAATCTCGTTCCATCACTGTGGATATTATTTATTTATTATCAACGAAAATCGATTAAAGTTTTAATTACTAAGAGCGTGCTGTTTGACAGTGTCCAATGCGGCTATGAGGCACTTCACACTCTTCTCCTTGTGTCCGCGACATTTTCCACACGACATTCTTATGCAATTGAAAAATGTTAACTTTTTTAATGAGCACGATTGTGTTTTTGTATTTATTATTAGCTCTAACTTCAGCAGGAATGAAAAATTGTGAGCAGCTTTATATGACATATGACAGGAAAGACTTTTATTACTTTAAACCAGGGCTACTGATGTTTTTACCTCGTCTTATGAAGGGAATGTTCGATTGATGACCACCCTACTACGATTTCCACCTAAAGTTCCTTTAACTAATTTAACAATCCTAAAACATTTAATATTAATTAATTTTAAAAAATATCGAGTAATCTGAAATCTTTATTTATGGTTATAAAATCTCCCTTAAAAAACAGTTAAAATAAATAATTCGTATAGAGCCATCTGCAGTAAGACATACTTACAACTCCCAACCCACAAAAACAAAGACGCTTAAAGAACGCTAAAACCATAAGTCTTATAATATCTACCTAGACAGTTCGGACGTAACCCAAGGCAAGCATAATGGAACCACCTTAAGATGCGCTGCTTTTTCAAGATTCATTCTTAATCCCAACTTTCTAGCTCTAAGCGATCCTGCGATTTTAGTGTGGGCGTCCTAGTGGACGTGGCAGGATGCTGAAATAAACTTCCGCTGCGTAGACGTCTCATGAATCTTCCTGCTGGATCCCAACTTTGTATCTCTTATAGTCCTGAGATCTCAGCATTCATACGGACAAATGGACGGGCATGGCTTAACGGCTTGTATATTGACGAATAGAGTACTTTGCAGGTAATTAATGTGATTACGCAAAAACAAAACACTAATACTTCCGGTTACCTCAGTGTTAAAGTAGAAATCTATTAAAGTAGGCCAAAATTTCGAATTGGTTTTGAGAACAGTTGGCCATGCCATTCTATGGACATGAGGTTTGGTTTGTCTCAGTAGAAAATTATTTCATGTCCGAAGTCCGAGCAAAAAGAACAAGTTTTATCAAAATGAAAACAAACGTAAAAGTGTTTGAAAGAAAATAATACAAAAATATTCCCTGTTACGAAAAGGTAAAGAACGTGAGTGATCTATTGAACGCCTAATTAAAACGAAATTAAAATGGTCAAGACTGCCGCCAATTTCAAAGATCATCAAGCCAGCAAACTTTCCCGCAGTAACCAAGCGTTGGCAACGGCATAGAGATCAATTTTGTGTCAACTCCTGGGTGTAATCCTTAGTCCGTTGTGCACTTCTTTGGCTTGCTGTGACCTTATAGGGAGGTCTTGGAGGGACATTTTGAGTTTAGCTTAACCAACCGCCACATTTCTTACAGTGACTGAGTGGGATTTCCTTTAGTCATATTTATTCACTGAGGGAGGAATGGCATACATCTTTAGTGACTCGGGGAGAGCTACTGAATGTTTATGAACTTGCTCCAGAAGCGAATGATTATGACTAGATATGGCATTCCAGGCAGTCAACATGTACCTCCACCGACTAGATGCAGACAGACTCAAAACTCGCTCTACAGGATTGGGATGGTTTGGGTTTTCCTCACACGAATCAAAGGAGTAGAATGGATCATTTTTTGAATCTGAATCTTTATAAAACGTAGAATAATATAAATGGTAATAATTAATTTAATTTTAATTGGAGAAAGAAAGGTTTAAAATGAAATTGATTAATCACCACTTATGCCCTGCATGGTGTATTATGCATGGAAAGAATTAAGGGAGTCGAAGATCTTGACATCCTCTATCTCTTCTATATAAAAATGAATGAAAAATGAACCATGTATGTCCGCTATAGACTCGAAAACGGATAGACCGATTTTGATAAAATATTTTGTACGTGTTTGGAATTCGTAAAAGAGGAAAAGTTGGCAGCTCTGATCAGTTATAGTTGGCAGCTCTAGCTCTTAACGTTTGAGCGAGTGTGTGGCAACTCTCTGCAAATTAATCTGGCAGCCCTTTTTTAAACAGTTAATTTAAAATATTTATTTTTCTGAAGTTTTTTTTTATGTGATTTACGTAAGAATTTATGTATGTAAATTGTGAAATTTCTGTCATTTTTATAGATTGATACTGCGCGCCACCGAGGGTGGAGGTTCCTAAACATGATTAAAAAAACGTTTCATTTGTATGCACTTACAATAAGACAATAACTTATTACTGTTAATCGCACTGCATGATGACGACACGGAAAATCCCCTTTCTTAAGGGGCTATATTCATGTAGGTACCTGTTGAAGTTACAGATTGATTTGTATCTGTGTAGTTTTTTATTAGTACCTGTGATTTAATTTTAGTCTTTATTCTGTTTTTTTTTATTCAATTCAATTCGAATTTCGAAAATAAAGAAGTTTTTCATAAAATTAATTTTGTTGTTCTTGTTATTGTGCTATAAAAAATAAACAACAATTTAATTGAATATTTTGAGTACATTTCTTTAAAAAATTCCACTTTTTATAAAGATTTCTTCTGAAATTCATTTACGTTTTTAGTTTTCTTTAATTTTTTGTATATTTTTTTAACTGACGAACGCATTTGCTTCGAAAAGATATGCACCCAAGGCGAAATGCAAGTGACCGATATACACCTCAAGCGCAAGCGAAGAGGGTATTATTAAGGCTAGAAAGTCTTCGAGTGCATGCCGCTGAGACCCGTTTGTCTGATTCACCTGAACGACGGGAAGTAAGGTTAGAAAGTTATCGAGTACGAGATGTACGAGGCCCTTTTGTCTGCGACACATGGACACAAAAAGTTCGAGAAAGACTGGTTTGATCAAGACGAATACTACGCATTGATCTTAAACTTGCTGCATTCCATTATGGCAGTATCATTGACGACAGTCTTCATCCAGGTGTCGCCATTGGAAAAATGGATAACATTTGCACGTTTTGCAGCGCACTCAAGTTTAAGAACGAAACGCCGGACATGTGTTGCGCCATTGGAAAAGTCAAACTGTCAGAATTACATTCACCACCTGAACCAGGCTTTCAGACGAGAGATTCAAAACTTTTTTTGAACTTTAGAAAATTCAAAGGTGAAGACGTTCTATTGCCACGTATCCCAATGATTCAAACGTTTGCAGTTCCCGTTGCGACGTGCCTTCGCAATGACTATCAACAAAGCACAAGGACAACCATTGCAAGTGTGTGGACTAAATTTGGAGAATTAATGCTACTCAAATGGGCTCTATGTGGCATGCTCGCGCGTCGGAAAATCTTATAAATTATTCGTTTACGCACCTGATGGAAAAACAAACGCGCAGTGCGACGGCTGCCTTTCTCATTGAGGGGCAAGCGGGTCGAGCGAAGCGAGTTGGGCTCACTAATTAGCTATATATTTTGTTGTTATAACTAAATTTATACTCCTATTGGAAACCACCTTAAGAAAAGCTAGTTGCATTTGCCCCATATTAAACAGTTGAGAAAAACAGCTCTTCTATTGCTGATGACGATGCCCAAAAATAGAATGTTCCATCAGGGCAGAATTCAGAAGCTTCCAAATGACTTGCAGGGAAACCCGAAAATCTGACTCAGAAGCCTTAACGTTCGATGCAATTTGGGCGGCTTCTGGTGGCGCTGCCATTACCAATTATTTGCGCTGTTATCGCGACCTTCTTGTGCTGACCCCAATTTGGCCAATAAGGTTTCCTTGTCGGCAAAAAATAGTAAGTACAAAGGAAAAGGAGCCGCAAGCTTCGAGTTTCCAGCTCTGGGCTCTGGGCTTGTTGATTGCCTTCGCGTCTTGCCGATGGCAGCTGATTGAAGTGCAAGGTGAGGTGACGAATGGTGGAAAGGGGATGATGAGGGCCAAGAGACGCCTCTGACAATTTCTCTCAGTGTGCCAAAGGGGGCCGGCGGTCCTTGGGCAGGTTTCTCTTTCACTTTTAATGGCAACTGGCATAATGAGCTGCTATGTGTGCCATGTGCCACCAGGCCAAACTCGAACTTGCTGCATTTGTTTTGGCCACTTGGGACCTGGCTGAAAGTCGGGGGGTAGCCCCTCCTCTCATCGACGCCTTCTTTTAGCCCGCCTTTTGGCCAGCATTGACACAATAAAATATTTGTTGTCGTTGCATTTATTGACGCATTTGCTCTTTTGCATATTTCGAATGTTTCTATACTCTGGGAAAGGGTATATATATTTTTTTTTAAATATATCTAACCAAAAAAGTTAGTAAATACATTAAAATTAAGTACAAAAAATATTATTTAAATGCCAGTGAAATAATTTTTAAACATTTTAACAATGCCTGAAAGTATGCAGTATAATGTTTAAAACTTCCTTACTCTCTGCTTACTTTTATACCATTTTTACACAGAAATTTCCGTGATCAATATTTAACTACCATTAAAAATTCCTACTCCAATTTATTTGACATCGATTATATATATATGTACAATAAAATCAATATCTACACTGAAAACTATAACAAAGGCAATTAGGCAACAGAGTATCCGCTATTTCCGAGCTTTAAGTCCCCGATTTGGCGTAACTTTTTGCCGTTGTTGCTGGGGCTCCGCGACATGCGACAAAATAAAATGTAATTTCTCTTTCAGGCCCAGTTCTAGTTTGCAGTTCCCAACCCTGGCCAACATGCGACAATTCAATGCTGACAACAACGACGAGCAACGGCAAAAATAACAACGATGCTAACAACAAAATATGCAAATCGTAGTTTCTAGTTGGGCGAGGTCAGGCATGGGAATGGGCATGGGTATGAGTTTGGGTTATTGGCCAAATTGGAGTCAAGTGCAATCGTATTCCCGCCCCGTCGAACATAAATAATTTAAGAGTGTGAAAACAAATTTTTTTTCGGAATTTTGTTTAGATTGTATTTCGGTTGACTGGAAATAATTACGGCTGAAAAAAAAGGGGAGCTTCGTTATTGTTATAATCTCGTTGAAATGCGATATTGTGATTTTTAATTGTTATGCTTTTTTAAATGATTTTATTTTGATGTTAGTTTTGTGTCATTGCCATTGATTTTGTTAGCCCATTTAATAGTTTTTACAGCCGCTGCACTCTGTTTGCCTTATTTATGCCGTTCATTGATATTCAAAAATGGCCCACTGACGTTTTAATTTCGGATAATTTACATCCCAAAGGGTTTTGAAATCATAACTCCCGAAAGGTCTTCATTAAATTAAACATATATCTTGGGTAAACATTCGATTTCCAAAGGTAATTGCTAATTAAACTGGGTTTAGTTAGTAAATTAAAGCAATTTTGATCACTTAACTTTAAGTTTATTTTTATGCTTTGTGAATTTTAACATATTTTTATGATTTTGCTACGTTACAGAGGTTTATCTTAACTTAACTTATATTTTTTCATTAAGATTTAACATTTAAGACTAATACCTTGCCTTACCTTAACCAGCAGATCGAATGAAGGGCACTGAGGGAAAATTCATTGCCCTCCATCCCATCCGCTGAGTTAGTCAGTCAAAGGTTCAGTCTCCCGCTTCTTCATATCGGAAAAGTTGGGCGAGTAGTTGGGGGAGCTGAGAAAACTAGACCTATTCGAGATCTTGGAGCGCAGCCGCTTGCTGTTCACCAATTGGGACATCTTCCGGAGCGTTATGTAGTCCTTGTTGAGCATCCGGCACAGCTCGATGAAGGTGCAGAGTCGCGGCGACTTCAGCTGGGTGGCCAGATCGTAGGCGGAATTGAGGACCTCCGATTGCCGCTCGTACTTATGGAGCACGGCATGGGATTTGGCCATCAACATGGTGCTAAGGAACTCCCAGATTCGGCTACTACATCCCCTGGCCTCGTCGATGGCCTTCTGGGCATAGGACAGGCTCTGGACAAAGTGATTCTTCTGCATGAGCCGATCGGCCAGTTCGTGGAGCAAGTAGCTCCTCTCAATCGGCAGGCGGGCGAAGATGAGGCGTTTCTCCAGGTAGTCGATAAAATTTCTAGGGAAAATGGTATATTTTTTATTACCTATAGTTGAGTGTTGATATTTTTTATATCTTCTAACTAGAAATCTCTGGTAACTTTTCCCCCTTCCCCTACCCACCTTTACCCTTACTTATTGAAATGGACTTTCACTCACACTAAGCTCTTGTTAAGTTTAAGGTTTAATCAGTAATAAAAAAGACTACAAGCTGTACAAGTGTAGATAAATAATTTGTTACACCTAAACTTGAGCAATTCTTACATAAACCTTCGTGAAAATCTAAGAAGTCGGAAGGAGCGAATTACCGAATTATCCCACAGACGACAGCAAAGAAGTCGTGGCTCGATCACACTACATAGTCGGATTGGAACAGAAACTATCAACTTATTTATAAATATATATTTCGAAGCATACTGTAACACATTGCAATGATGATTTCAAATCTCTAGACAGCAGTATCAAATCTGCTTATGCCTGTCCATGTTGGACTCTACACTTTGAAGGGACGTTCTTCAAGTATCTTGGCTTAATCTGGGCCAGAGATAGTCAAGATAGCCTCTTGCTCCACATTAACCCTATTCGGTATGCAGGGTAAGTCTATGACTTAATAGCCAAAATGCGTCCTAACAAAATTATTACCACAAATTAAGATCTTTAGAAGACTTTGTAATGACCACGTATGCTGAAAGGAGTCCTAAAGTTGCTATGATAGGTGATGTCTTAATCATGTCTTGAATGACTAAGATCTAAAGATAAAACCCAAAAAGACAAAGCTGAAAAATTACCACCCTAACAAGCTCTCAGCGAAATATTAATGTGAATAATGTATAAAATATAAATTATATAAAATCTATATAAGATCAATATATCCGATATTTACCAAATTCTTAATCTACATAATTTATTTATTTTTATCTCTAGGCCAACAATTAGTTTAAAACTAAGAGCTAACATAGGGTTAGAAGCAATAACAGCTAAGGCCTTCTGCTTAATTTGCATCATAACTATCATCAATCTTAATCTATTTTAAATGAATAAATCGGAATAAATGGAACAGACATTAAGAAATAAAAATCTTGACTGAGTTTCAAGTTGAAATAATTTGTTAGGGATGCATTTAAGTACAATACTGCGGACTAGGGTTGGCGAGCTTATGAGCGAGTGATCAAAAAAGGCTATTTACTGAACTGAGCGATTTTTTGATTCCCATTTATTCTTTATTGTTAACATCCTCTTTTTTGGTCACTTTATCAGTTTTGCTCATTTGCTCAGTCTTCTCCAGTAGCAAGCAATTGAAAAAGTGCAGAAGATATAGCCTGAGAAACTGAAAAATGAACAATTGAACAAAATGCGAATATTGACTCTTTCGAAAAAGAAGAACAAGTAGACATTTCCCCGAAAAATGGGAACTATTTACCCTACCCTAATGTAGAGTATATTCACTTTTATACTCACTGAGCTTCCAGCCTGTCGGTGCTCTGTTTGTCTGGACCGGCATAGGAATAGGTGGAACGATCCCCGAAGATGAACTCCGCGTGCTCCAGGGGCTTGGCCGTGGGTATGTCGAGCAGCTGACACATGGCGCTCTTGTCGTATGGCGTGACCCTATTGGGGGGCAGGCGGTAGCCCTCGCACAGGCTCAGAGCTAGATTATTGTAGACCTCATTCATGAACTCCGCCTTCCAGGGCATCAGGCGGTTCGTCTTGACGACCACATAGTTGCCCATCACATCCTCCACGAATTTGCGAAGACGCTAAGCAATATTAAATAAAAAATAATAAATTGGTTATAAAAATGTTAAGTTTTAAGCAAATTCAAACATTTGTTTTTTGTGGTTTAGAAGCTCTAGAAGTAGTTTAACCGATCTTAGCCGACCCCACTTATAAAAATGTTTCTGAAAACCTGTAGTAAAGCTACTTAAAAACGAGAGGAAACGCTATAGTCGAGTCCCGCGACTGATACCCGTTACTGTTTTACACAATTTTAAAGTATTCATTTTGCTAGTGGAAACTCCCCAAGCGCCACCTATTGTCGGAGAAAGCATGTTGAGTAACTGATAGTGACGTCACTGGGCAGTGAGGTCTTATGAGGCCTTATATCCTAAATTTCTTCATAAGTAGCGAAATAATGTTCGGATTTCAAAAATCTTTAGTAAATCGATAAATATTAACAGAAATAAGTTACACAAGGTCAAACGAAGGCATTCATAATATCATTATAGACGCCACTGTTTTCCGCGGTTTGTGGACGTTAGAGTGGGCGTGGCCAGATGAAAACTCGTGGGAAGTTGCTGTGACATCTCTAAAATACGTATTCTTAAGCAAAACTTTGTAGCTCTTATGGTTTCCGAGATTTTTGCATTTTTGGTTTTCCGGGTTTTGTGGGCGTGGAGCATCATAAAAACCTACATGCTTAATCCTAACTTTCTATCTCTCATAGTTACCGAGAAATCAGCTTTTCTAGAAAATCCGAAAACCTTGAGCCTTGTGGGCGTATGGGTGGGTGTGGCCGGTAAGATGCGCTGGCATCTAAAGGTTATACATTCTGAATTTCAACTTTCTAGCTTTAATAGTTCCTGAGATTTAAGCGATTTTAGTTTTTTGCGATTTGTGGGCTTTAGAGTGGGCGTGTCAGGATGCTGTAATAAACTTGCGCTGCGTAGGGACAAGAATCTTCATAGTTAATCTCAACTTTGTAACTCTTATAGTTCATCCTGATCAAGAATATATATACTTTACAGTGTCGGAAACGCTTCCTTCTACCTGTTACATACTTTTCAACGAATATAGTATACCCTTTTACTCTACGAGTAACGGGTATAATAAATTTGTAAAATCCAGAACATGGCTGAGTATTTCGTTTAAAAGTTGCTTAACAAAAGTTTGTTTGTTTAAACGTTTTAGATTACTGTTATTACAGTATTACAAATATAAAACTTTCTGAGTTTTTAAATAGTGAAAAATAAACTGAATACTTTATTTTGATTTCCCGTAAACACAACCTATTTGAACAATTTGTGGTACCTTGAAATGCATTTTTAAAACAAAGTCAAACCAAGTCGATCTTTGTGGGCGTTAGTGACTTTCTAGTTCTTATAGTTCTCAAGACCTTAGAGGTTGCAGTTTTTTTGCGTTTTGTGGCCATTAAAGTGGGCGTGGCACGATGCCCAATTAAACATGAAATAACAGGCCTCTCATAAATCTGCACACTTAATCCCAAAATTGCATCTCTTATAGTTCCTGACATACAAGCGTTTATACGGACAGAATGACGGACGGACGGACATGGCCAAATTGACTCGACTATTGATCGTGAATATGCTTTATAGGCTCGGAAACGCTTCCTTATACCTATTATATACTACTACGGGTCTAACAAACGATTTAGATACATAGAGTGGCATGCCCATAACCCTGTATTTAGATATGTATAATTTACCATTTTCATACTCTACCCTATCCTATACTTAGCTTACATAACATAGGCCCAAACACACAGACTTCTAAATCGTGTAACGAAAACCAAAACTAAGGGCTGATAGACTAAACAAAATGAGCTTAGCTCCTGTCCAAGGTGTCATAAACATAAACATAAGCACGACTCCAAACAATCAAAGTCCAACCCAGAAAATTAAAGATTCAAATTTAAAAAATAAACACTTGTACAAACCAAAAAGAAGTTAAAACTTAACTAGAAACTCCACTCAGAAACTTAAAGTTTACTTAATATTGGAATATCCAAAAGACAAGGCTTGATCGTCCCGGAAATCTTTATTTTAGGTGAGATTGATTTTGATACCTAAAAGCAATAAGCTTGTAAACTTTAAATAAATCCGATGTTTAAAAAAAATGAAATATTTTTTGTAATAAAGAGTAAGTTCAAATTATTAATATTTTAGAAAATGTTTTTAATGTTTAGAAAAAAATAGAAAGAAATGAAAAGAACCCAATGAATGAATTTCATAGGATTTTTACTCGTGGATTTGTGCTTTATCTCTAATAACTTTAGAAGTAAAATTTAACTTAGTTGATTTTTTAGATATTAATGCGAAAGTAAAACTATTTAAAACAAAAAATCTCTAATCGGAATCTGAAAATAAATTAAGAATAAGGTGATTGTCTTTCATTAGCGTAGAGGTGACCCAAAAAAGCATTTGTTGGCACCTCAAGGTGACCCATTGACCTAGCGAGTAAACACTCCCACCCTGAACTCACCTTAATGTCATTACTCTTCCTCAGCACCTTAATGGTTCGGAGGATGCTTAGCATATTCCGCCTGGTCTGGTACTGAATTCTGAACAAGTTCGACTCTCGTATGCGAGACTCCATTCGGGGATTTCGCTGGTAGTACTCGTTGTACATGGGACTCCGGGCCTGGAGCATCCGGGTGAAGGTCTTTAGCCGCTGGAACGAGTATTCCAGGTACTCTGTACTGTCTGGCGAGGAGCCAAAATTGCTGTCCAGCAGGCTATTTGGATTCCGGCGAAGAGTTTTTAGAAAGATAAAATCGGTCCAGTTGCGACCCAGATAGTTCTGATAATAGATCTTGGTCTTACGACGCCTCCGTTCACTTTCCAGCGGGGATAGCATCTCCGCCTTGCGATCAATAATGCTCTGGACATCGCACTCCTTTCGCTCTTTCAGGATCTTCCAGAGCGGTCGCTTGTCCGCCCTGCGCAGCTCTTCCTGCTGATTCGCATAGAAGCCGGGCAGCTGCGACGAGTGTTCCATGAAGAAGTCCGCCAGGCTGTAGCCCATGCAATCCTTGAGATTCTCATCGACCACCATGAGGCGATTTGCGAAACCTTTCAAAGATGTGCCCGCATGACGACGCACATTGTCGTGGAGCAGGCTCTTGTTGTCCTCAAACCGATTAAGATCGTAAAGAGCATCGGCCAGTTCCATGGACACATTCGCATTCCACTCCTCCCGCACTCTCATGGCCCGCAGACTATCCTCCAAGGCGCCCTGCGCCAGGGCCACCGATCTGTGGAACTTGCTACGCAGATACAAGGCCTTGTGGTCCAACACCTCGTGCTCCGTGATGCACTTGTCGAAATATGTCTGGGCAACGCTGTTCTTCCGCATCCTCGCAAAGTACTGACCCCAACTGCGGTGGATCCCCAGCTGCTGCTCCGCCGGCCAGTCTATGGTCTCCCATGGCCTCAGGTTGGGTACCAAAACGCCTGCCGGTGTCATGTCCTTTATCCTGACCCCAATTCCTCCTCGTCGGTGTGGTAAAAAACAAATAAAAAGGAAAACCCGTAAAAAAATGAAACGAATTTGTGTCTCCTAAAACAGATACGAAAATGAAGGAAAAGTCAAGAGTACATGCCAAAAAACTAAAAATAAGTTATAAAAATTAATTAATCTGATTGAATTTATTTGAAATAATAATAAACTTAACTAGAATAAACATATTTTAAGGAATATCAATTATTTAAGTAAACAAAGTTAAGGTCCTTTAAAGTCGAAAACTTTAAAAAGTGTGACTGAATGTTTAGAACATTTTTAAAAATATGTATAATATAAAACATTTCCAATATCTAGTTTAATATCTTCTATAACGACATCCAGTACCCATAACAGCAATACAAAATCCAAATACAAAAAGGTGTGTACAAGTATCAGTGCTCAAAAGATCGCTGGGGGAGAATCACTTCGGCTGGAAGGGATCCTTGGCGATGTTCTTGATCAGCAGATTCTCGCCATCGGGGTCCACCTGCGACAGCTGGCCGAAGCCCTCTTCGTCGACAAAGCAGATCTCATGGCCATCGGGATCGCCGAGAATCACCACCGTAACAGTGGCCTTACCCGGCGTATCCAGGGTGATCAGGGGCGTGAGAATGGCCCCGCCAGCTGCTGTTACCGCCTCGGAAAGCGGTGGCTGTTCAGCAGATGGTATGGCAAAGGCTATCCGTCCATAGGCCTTGGCTCTATTTATTGGCTCTGCGATCTGGGTGATCTGCAGAGAAGCCTGCTTGTCGCCGTAACTCAAGCGCACGCTTTCTTCGCTCTCCTCAAGCACTTTCATCTTAAGCAGATTGTGCCAGTATTTCTTCGAGTTCTGCAGATTGCTTACACTCAGCTCTACGGATTTGACGGGATCAGAGTCACCAGACGGCTGATCAATCACAAAGAACTTGTAGCCATCAGGGGAGGTCAAGAGGCTGCCCTTCTTTCCAGCAACCTGCGTCACAGGGTACGAGTGCTCGGCGGCCCGGGAAAGAATGTCCTTGGAGTATATGGTCACACCGCCAAAGTCGTTGCCTAAATTTAAAAGAAGAAATTGGCATTAGCAGGAATTATCAAAACTCCAAATTTGTAACTAAAAAACCGTTTAAGTATCTATAAATCGTATCAATTCTTATTAATAAATTGATGATATTTTTGCTAATAGTAATTATCGCTGTTCATAATTTGAAACTGAATAATAAACTTCTTTCGTATAGTTTCAAGTTGCAAGTTCAAACGAAGTATATTAACATCCCAGCTCAACCACTTTTCTTATCAGCTTGTTTTCTGCTTAGCGAAATCGTAGTTTTAAAATAACTCCACTGATTAATCGACTGTCTGATAGATTTCAGCCTCCTCAAAGATAACTATTTGCCTACTCATAAAGCTAGATTATTGACCCATTATCTGCAGGGAATTGTGCCCAGTCACTTATCAAATTGCTATTATTACTCGAGCACTTAATTATAAAGTTGTCGAAGATATAACAACCTATTTGTGACGCAAGATAAGCCAAAATACGTTCTTAGATCATCGGATTGGCTTAAAATGTTTTAGATTTATCAAAGGTTAAATTTGATTATCAGATGTTTTCAAATTAAAATAAGTTAAAATAAAGCCTGATACGATCTACATTTCAAGCTCCTCACTATTTGATAACTATTACCTATTTGATAAAAATATATAAATTTTGGAACTTGTGGAACCTAAAAGAGTCGCCAGTGTATAAGGCTTAAGCTTCTCCTTTTCAAAAACCCCAAAAACTTGTGAGCTGTTTTTAAATTAAAATTTTTTTATAATAAATCTTACCCATTTCGTAGCTGCTGACTCCATAATTATACGTTAGTTCGATGACGAAATGGGAACTTTCAGGTCCATAACCCACCATTGTTTTGCTCCACCGGTTGTCGTATGGCCTGTCAAGGTTTAACGATTACCGGTTAGTCCTGTCATAACATACAGACATACATATAGTATTCTCCCTCGCACTCACCCGTTACAGGCGGCATCACATCCTTCCTTGAATTCCTCATGCCGCAGCACCTGTTGTCGTGACACCGAGCAAGAGAGATAGCGATAGAGCAGAACAACAAACGGGAGAGAAAGAGAAAGAAGAAAGGGAAATTTTAACATCGTCATTATATGACATTATCGGGCATCTGGGCTTTTTAATTAGCGTCGACACGTTGTTCAGATAAAAACACAGCCAGACAACGACTTCCGATAAGCAAGTCTGCCGATTTTAAAAGATATTGCTCGTTCACCCCTTTCATCCTCGACCACTCTCACCATCGCCCTCTCTCACCTTCATTCCTAAGATTTGGCGAAAGAAAAAGGAGTTCTTGCCCCGATCTCCGATTTTGAAAACGTAGTGCAGGGCACGTCCGGAAATTGCTGACATCTTAGGATTTAATTGTAGGGTTTAGATAGCTGATCCGGAGTTTGCTGGGAAATTGTTTTAAGATCGAATCCGACCTAGCTTTTATGTACATTCGGCACTAATGTGACCTTAGGCAGAGCGCCAAATAATATCGACTTTTCGAATTATCGATAGTCAATCTTTATATATATCGCATAAAACTTACATTTTAATTACACAAACTTTGGATACAATATTCCCAATTGTATTGATTGTTTATATCAACTGATTTCCCTTAAATATTTTGAACAGCTTGAAAACATATTTTTCGTTTATACAAAATGAAAAAGCCATTTGAAAACATTAGTTGAAATAGTGAAATAGTTTAAAAATCGTTTTCGTTTTTTAAATTTTATCCAGAAAATATATCAAAATTGGAAATTTTCAGTATATAGATTACATATTTTTGGTTTTGAAAATCTTTTTTGATATTTCGCAGATAATATTAACCAGTTAATCGGATAATCAAGGAAAAAGCAAGGCTTAGGAAAAATATTATTTATTTGAACGATTTAACATAAGAATACAGAATTTCATTTTGATTATTGTCTATTCAGCTTAATATTTATAAAAACATAATCGAAAAAATATGTGTATCCCGTCAAAAAATATTATAAGATGATTATTCGCCAAAAATCGAATAAAAATCAAATACTTTGGTAAGTATATGTAGAAAATAGTTAATATGGTAATAGCAAAGTTAGAAAAGGCTTAACATTTCTAATCTTTAACACAAGTGAAATATTCAGCGAAGACCTTTGTTCTTGGTAAATCATTTCATATATATAAATATAAACTCAATTGTTTTCTCAATTATAGTCATGGGAATGCTCTTCTATTCGCTATTTTGGCTCTGCGTCCTGCTCTTATTCGTGATGCCATTCTGGATCACGTGAATCATATAGTGAATCCTCATCCTGATCCTGGCTTTCTTGATCTTCTTTTTTCTCATCTTGCTTCCTACGGGCCGACTTGGCTGCCTCCCTTGAATGGTTTTCCAGTAAGCGCTCTCTTCTTTTTAGCTTTCTCATCTTCCTGCGATGCTCGTGGTGGTCTTCCTGACTCTCATCCTGCACCTCCTCCTCTTCGTTGCTCTCCCGTCTTTTCGTTCTGCGGCTCTTAATCCCGCTGTGCATTCTCAGATGCACCTCCAGAGTCTGCCGCGAAACGCAAGGCTTCTGACAATGGCTGCAAGCAAAGGGCCACTCCTCGGCAGACTCTGCTGCTCCAGTGGACTTGCAATGCAGCCGTTCGTGCCGCATCTGAGAGGAATGCGTGCCAAACCTCTTTTTGCAAGCACCGCACTGAAATCGACGTTGACCCTCGTGAACGACTCGAACATGCCGGCTTATTGCGCTCTTGTGGCGGAACAGTTGCGGGCACTGCTTACACTTAAAGCTCTCACAAGTGGGATTGTGGGTGCGCAGGTGGGTCAGCAGCTCTGTCTTCGTCACCTTGGCCACGCCGCAGAACTCACACACGTGCTCCTTGCGCTGGGCATGTCGTTTCAAATGCTCGACCAAGGTATTTTTTGTGCTGTACTGGCGGTTGCACAGCTCACAGATGAGGTCGCGCAGCTCCTTTTGCAGTTGATTCAGCGGGGGATGGACATTGCGCATGTGGACGCGCAGTTGCTCGTAGCGGGTGAAGCATTTGTCGCAGCTGCGGCACAGGAAGGGCTTCGAAAAGCCCTGGTGAACGCTGCGGATGTGGGCCTCCAGATAAGGCAGCTTGTAAACCTGCTTCCCGCACTGATCGCAGGCGAAGCCGTTGTGTCGTTTTCTTATTTTAACGGGTTGATTGAGCTGATCGTGACTATCGTGGCTGTCCTTGGACTCTTCCTGGTATTCTTCTTCCTCCTGGTCCTTCAGAATCTCTTCCTTATCCCCCTGCTTCTTGGTCGGCTCATCCGGTGTGTCAACTGGCGGTTCATCCAACGATTCATCCGGCGGGTTATCCCGCAGCTCTTCCTGCTCAACCACCATTTCCTCCTGGTCTTTCGTTACATATTCCTCAAGTGCTTCCTCCAGTAGCTCCTCCTTTACCTGGGAAAGCCCCAAAAAAGTATTAATCCTGGCTAACTATTCGAAAAGGACATACATCCACACTGTCCAGCGAAAGGGTCATTGACCGGCTTTCGCTGAGCTTCTGGCTGGATTCCTTGGCCACTTGGCACAGTTCCTCGAAGTAGAGCACCGCATTGTGACACAGATTACAGATCTCCTTAGGGAATCCCTGTGGCTGTTGCAAAATGTCAATGTCCAGGAACTTCTGGAGGATCGCAATAAGTCGTGTGTCGGGACTCTGGGATTCCCTGTCTCTCAGATGGCGCAGGCAAATCCTGCACAGGCGTGCCAGGTTGGTGAATGTGGTTAACATTGCTACAAACGGTGGAACACCAAATGCAACGACCAAACGATCTTTTATTTTCCTTCTGAATTTACCTACTGCAACCTTCCAATGTGACCAGAGCCGGGCAGCACCAGTGCGCTGCATCTGTCACTGTTTTAGTCGCTCTATCGGTCACTCTTTGCAAAATCGCCGGCGACTTAATTGCTGTTTAAATTGATTTTACTCAAATTTCGGTGATTTTTGTTTAATTTGTTTTATTTACATTTTACAATTTTTTATTAAAATATTTTATCATTTTAACAACTTATACAATTTTTTAACTAATTATTTAAAATAATAGATAAATATTAAAAATAGAAAATACCTTATCCTTATCCTATTGTTTGTTATTATCAAAAATATATTTTACCTGACATATATTTTTCAAAATTTTTTAATAAATGTCGAAGGAGAAAGCAACAATTAAATTTATTAGAACTGATATAAACAAACAGATATAATTAAATAAAATGAATTTAACTTCGCTTACAAGTTAAGAACAAAACTACATATGTAAGATTCTAACTGTTTTAGTTGAATTTAAGAACCGGCTTATAATATCTTATTTTGCTTAAATAATGAAAACAAATTAATTTTCTCTTTGTTTAAATAAAATATTCGATATTACCTCGAGGTGGGAAACTCGACTAATAATTATCCCAGTTCTATAATCCACTTGAAAATAATCGATGGCCATCACTGCCGATAGCGATTTCTGTGTCAAGCATCGATTTTTGTGCCAGCTCTAAAAAAGAGTGCTGTTGAGCGAATTTGGTTGGTTTTTTTTTTAGTTTTTTAAATTAACTCTTTTGCTGCGATCGTAACGGATCGGATCGGATTCCCCTATAACCTTTGACCGCACCGAGTGAAATGTCGCTAAATCCACAGTACGAGGACATTGGCAAGGGATTTGTGCAGCAGTACTATGCGATATTCGATGACCCGGCGAACCGGGCGAACGTGGTTAATTTCTACAGCGTAAGTGTTGTTGTTGTTTTTGGTTTCCTGGCGTTCGATTCCCTTCTAGCTCTTCCTTTTGACCTTCTCGTTTATCCGCGTCTCCTTCACCGATTCCATCTGTTGCTATCCCGTTCGCACGCATGTGACGCACGGCGCGCCCTTGAAAAATTTCGCCTCCTTTCAGTAACAAAAAAATTCTGGCGCAAAACTAAAAAGAGCGCGCAAAAAGCAGCTGTAGATATATATTCAGGATATCGGGAGACACGGGATAAGCCGGCCGATCGCAAGCGGGGGAGCGCCAGCGTTCGATTCTCGAAGTTTCGGGTGACACATTACGCCAGTGTTCGCATAAATAAATACACACACACGAAATATATATGGCCAACATACAACTGCGGTCAAGAAAATAGAACTCAACAAAAATTAATAGGAGAAAAATATGAAAAACTTGAATTTAAATTTCTAAAAAATGTTTTTATATCTTCAGTTAATTGAGTTTTCTTATATCTCATTTTTCACTTTTTCCGAAAAATGTTAGTTACAGTAGCAATCAAGAGAATAGCATCCAAAAATAAAACTGTTTTAAAAATGCATATAAACTTCATCTAACCGAGTTTTACAAACTTGTATATACTCTTTATGGTGGTCTTGTAATTTCATAAATATTTTTATGATGATTGTTTTAAAATTTTAGAAAAATCATTAAACAGTTTTTGATCAGTGAACAAAAATTTGGAGAAGTTTTTAATCACAAATTCTTAATCTTCCAGGCTACCGACTCCTTCATGACATTTGAAGGCCACCAAATACAGGGTGCACCCAAGATCCTGGAAAAAGTTCAGGTAAGTCTCCATACCATTCGGCCTTTAGAGCATTTGTAAACTTTTCCAACTCTTGCAGAGTCTGAGTTTTCAGAAGATTACCCGAGTGATAACCACAGTGGACTCGCAGCCCACGTTCGACGGCGGAGTGCTGATCAACGTCCTCGGAAGACTACAGGTAAGCCAATCTATCATCATAGTCATTAGTAATGTCCATCCAACCATCAAAGAAAGATGCCCACAACTTGCTGTCCAAAAGAATGTTCAATGACTGCCTGTTGTACAGCGGTGGTTAGGAAAATAGCACTGTCTGTCAAATCGAATCAGCTTACCCCTACACTTTGTATACATAGTTTATATATGTTTTCTAGTTTCTAGTTCTAGTTTCTAGTTTTTTCCTTAGCTTCAAAGTGTTGGCAAAAAAGAAAATAAATAACTTTTTGTTTATGAAAAATAAACCTTTTTTAACATAATTATGATCTTAGTTATTTAATTTTGGTTTAAAATTGCAATTCTATTGTACAAATTATATTTGTTTTCTATTATTTTCATACCTAAATACTTCGGAATATAAAAATCTGTATTTACAAAAGGTACAAGATGCCTAAAAATGTATATAGATACACGAGTATATAAATTCTCTCCAAGACTGTTTATTTTTTGCACCATAATTCACATTGTGATGAATCATACGTTTTTCGTCTGTATTTTTTCTAAGCTTGCTTGAGTCTGCCACATTTTCCATTCCACAAAGTATGTGCTTATAAACTAGCTACATTTCCACCTTAAATAAATATTAAAGCGTATAGATTACAAACAGACCTAGATTTCCCCTTTAAAAAGATGGTATAACTGCTGAATATGATGATAACATAAACAAGAATATATTTTTAGAGAGAAAAATGAGTGTAAACATGTTTATAGGAAAGTATAAATAACATGCAAAAATTCTGAGTTCAACCACAAATAATTAATAATCTAAAAATAACTAACAAATATGACTAAAGCTTAAAAAAGAGTTGTTTATAGAACTATTAAATTTGTTTGCACTACATAATGATAGGAAACATAAATATTGGGAATACTTTTAAAGAACTGAAGAAATGGGAATCTATCATCATTTAAGATATTAAATCATTGCCCACAATCATGACCTTAAGCCTAATTTGCCAAAGGACAGTGCTATAAACCAACCGCCGCTGCATCGAAAACCATACACACCATCTGCTTCGTATATCTCAACTCTGGTTATAATAAAAATCAAATAAAATCAAAAAATATATCAAAACCGATGCAGACCGATGAGGATCAGCCGCATGCCTACATTCAGACCTTCGTACTGAAGCCGGTGGGCGGCAGTTTCTTTGTGCAGCACGATATATTTCGGCTATCGCTGCACGACGTGTAGCACCACCGCCCTCGATATGCCACGCCCAGTCAACAACAGACAACAGCGACCGGCGATATATATATAAATCGAGATCAAGATCAAGAAAAACAGCCAAATGATCAGCCAGCAGCGACGAGACGAGACCCAGTTAAAAAACGAAAGAAACCTATATCTAAGCGATAAGAAAGTTCTGCTGTTTGTCGACCTTCTGCCGCCCAGCCCCGCCCACTCAGCCCACACAACCAATATAATAATAAAAAACAATCCTTGGCGTCTCGTCGTCGTCCAACTTCTTCCAAATGTCCTCACAGTACGTGAATGCCCAACGTTAATTAACTGAAACAAAATGTTGCGCATTTCAGTTCGTGCATGGTTTTCGTTAATTTTGAGTTGGATTGGTTCTTCTTAACAATTTGCAGTTGGTCGCTGGGAAATGGAACTTTTAAATATTTTAACTTAAAGGTAACACACATTTTCACGATAAAATGCAAGTTACCTAAGTTTACAAAAATCTTAAATTGTACTAATCGTATGATAAATACATGTTTTTGAATCACTTTCATGATACTTTCATACGGTCTTTAAGACACATACTATACATTCTTGAATCTTCTTGAATATTGCTGACTTCTTCTTTAAATGCTTTCAAAAATCATTGAAAATTTCAAAACACAAAATAACAAATTTTCTACTTTAATTATCAGTGATCAAAATTGCTAAATACTTTTTATGATCAAAATTTCTCAATACTTTTTATGATCGAAAATGTCTAAAGTAAATCTCTCTCTTTGTTTCTGAAATACTTACACCTTAAGTAACCCACGTTTCTAGTGAACATATTGAGTTATGATCATCCACTTTGCTAGCGACCACTGTACAGTAAACACACACCTGCACACGCCCAATCGGCTGCCAGTTGTACACCCCTTTCCCCTGACCCCGGCTTGATACTGTGTGTTTTCCGTTCCATTTCTAACTCTAGAACTCAAAATTGGTTATTCGCACGCTTGTTATTGAATTAAATCTAAATCGAAATATTGTTTTAAAGAGTTTTTATTGATAAATATTTGATTTCATTATTTTGCAGTGCGATGACGATCCCCCGCACGCCTTCTCGCAGGTGTTCCTTCTAAAGGCCAACGCCGGTACTTTCTTCGTGGCCCACGACATCTTCCGTCTCAACATCCACAACTCTGCCTAGGAGCCTTCCACTCCGCTGGACATATGAACCATATATCCACACCACTCAGCTACACCCGCAACCGACATCCAAAGATGCCCAGCGCCTAACGACAACAACAACAACAACAACATCAACTAACTGGCAGTGGAACTCAATGATAAAAATAACAAAACAATGCCGAAGCGGTCTCACGTTTATCAGCAAATGAAAACAAGTAAAAACGAAAAAAAGAAAAGAAAAAAACACAATAAAAAAAGAAGAAATTAAAAGCTAACTACTACTATTGCGATGTCAAAATGGGCCACCAGCTCACCTTCATTTGTGTCCCATTGTGCCCGGTACTCTCGATTCAAGGGGCCCATCGAATTGCATATTCCGCGGACACCTGCATCTCGGGATCTAATTTAGCTAGGGCTATTAAATTTGGTATGTGGTCTGCTTTGATTTTCACTTTTCCCCGGAAAAACAGCAGCTGGCAACCACATGAATTGACTTCCTAGACTTTTTATATTCTTAATTGAGTTACAACTCGATTGTGTACTGTAATTATCGAAATAATTTTAGATAGCCGTATTGAAAATATGTTTTTTTATCGAACTTTACTTTTTAACCTGAGTATCGGGCTTCTTGAATAGTCGAGAGGGTCGACCCAAGCTTTCTTGTATGTGATGGCGAATTACTTTTTATTGAGACAAAAAAAAAAACACTTAAATATAAAGATTAACGTTAATAGTTTGCTTGTTTGTATGATTGGTGGCGTTTCGATCTCAAGTGGGAAGAAAAATAGATATCCTTACAACTATTAAATGCATAAAAAAAGAAGCTTCAGAGGACTCCAATCAGGGTTCACGGTTCACTTGTCGCGAAATGTAAAGACGGCGTCGAATCCGAACAGCACCCCATTGACGATCGACAGTGAGGCCTTGATAAGCGCGAGATCCCTGGTTCGTGTGCGGAACGAGAACTCCCAGGCCTCAATGATAAACACACCGCTGGCCACGAACAAAGTGCAGCCTAGGACACTGAAGAATATATCGATGCGCTTGTGTATGGGAGCCCGCATCAGAACTCCTGCAATTTTTTGATACAATTAGATTTACGGAAAAAAACTTATTTTATAGAACTTAATAATGATTAAGAGCCGATTTCGAATAATAATAACTCATCATCGTTTTTGGGAATTCTGAAATTATATAGTCTCACCTGCAAAGACCCCGATGACCACTATAATATAACCTGTAAAGGTCCCGGTGGCCAAGAACGATGTCATTATATCGCGATCGTTGAAGCTGTAGAAATGGAGCACAAGACACGCTACAGCAAAGCCCTATAAAAGTTATAGAAATTGGATAAGGATGTCATTTTAATTTGTGATTCTACAAAGGAATAAGAATATTGCATTCCATTTTTGTGACACCTTAATCTTCTTTTTACGAAAAATACTTAGACAAAGCTTTACGTCTGCTGGGATCTTCGGAATTTCTTATAATTCCCAACTTGTTTTTTGGGGAGAACATATTCATTGCCATTTTTCAGAGTTCTGATTCAATGTGATTTAAATTTGCTTTAAAAGCCTTTGTTAACTATTTCCTTTCCTTTGATGTTTACCATATAATCACAACAAAAAGGTTCACTTGAAAAAAAATTGATTTTTACCAGTTCCAGAAACTTGACCACATTGAGGCGGCCTTTCCGCTCGCCGTGAGACATTTTGTGAAACTGCTGCCGCTGACAGTCCTCGAAAATATGGTCCAGTTTGAAAACGTAGATATCGCAGTTCGAAAAATGCTGAAATTATTCCGTTAGGCGGTTTGGGATCGTGCTCGCGACGACAGAGCGCTGGATAAACTGGTTCGAACGGATGGTCAGATGGCATGGAAATGCTGCTGCAGTTGGGCGCAGTCACAGCCACCGAAATTAATTAATTACACTTAGGAAATAGGCTTTTCATTTCTGTTCCCATCTCTGTTTATCCGTTTACGTTTACTACCCGGGCCACTCGGGTCCGTCTGTGAAGTGGACACCGTCTGGGTTTTCCGCCGTAAGCTGCACTCGAGCCCCCATCCCTTGCAACTGGATTGAGTGGAGCATAATGACTACACTGGCAGGAAAAATATCAAGATCAGTTCGTTACTCCAGTTTAGATGGGAAATATCTTTTTTTTTTTTTTTTTGATATAACAATATTAATATTTATTAAACGTCAATCAGCCAACTTAATGGCTATAATACGTTGAGTACTACATAGAACAAAATAACATAAATACCTAACAGGAAGGAAATTAACAAATTTTTATAACTAGATAACTAGAGATCAATGCTAAATGCTAATGCTAAATTTACTGCTTTAGGACTCGAGAAATTTGGCGTCCTCTTGTCCAGAGATCGGCTGGATGCCTTCGCTTTAAACGTCTTCTTATAGTAGTGAGAGCTAGCGAGGAGGCTAGGTGGTTTGTGTGAGCTGTGAGACGATCGTTATACCGACTCGAGTGCCTGTTTATCTGTTCCCTAATAGAGGGAATGTGGAGGTCATCTTCTAGAGCTTTGTTTCTGACGTACCAAGGCGCATTTGCAATCATGCGTAACGCCCGGTTTTGAACCCTTTGAATTTTCATGACGTTAGAATCCGAAGCCAAGCCCCATAGTTGGATGCAGTACATCATCGAGGGCACCACAATTGATTTGTACAGTAGCACTTTGTTAGCTAGGCTTAGCTTGCTCGTTGGCTTAAGCAACCAGTAGAGTTTCCTAAGCTTGGAACGACAAGTAGCTGCTATTTTCGAAGTATGCTGCCTCCACGTGAGGCGCTTATCTAAAATGAGGCCCAGGTACTGCGCCTGTGATGATTGCGGAATGATGTCGTCGTGAAGTTTGACCTCCGGAAGGGACTGCACTCTCCAAGCGAAACAGCAGTGTTGTGATTTCCTTCCATTAATCGCTATGTTCCACCTGTTGGTCCACTTGCCGTATGTGTCCAGAAATTCCTGGGTGATTCTTGATGCCTCGATACGGCAAGAGGAGTTGACTAGGAACGCCGTGTCATCGGCGTAGGTGGCCAGAAGTGTGTTTGGTTCATTCGGACAAGGCAGGTCAGAAGTGAACAGAGTATACAGCACGGGACCCAGGACACTCCCCTGTGGAACCCCAGCACGAGCAGATCTTATGCTTGACCTCACTCCTCTTACTTCAACCATAAAACTTCGACCAAGTAAATATGATTTAAGTAAGAGGAATTGGGCAGTCGGGAGAAGAGATTTCAGCTTATACAGCAGGCCATCATGCCACACGCGATCAAAGGCTTCCTTAACGTCGAGGAAGATAGCAGAGCTGTATTGTTTGTTTTCAAAGGCATTCAGAATATGGTGCACAACTCGATGGACTTGCTCAGGAGTCCCATGTTGCTTCCTAAAACCAAACTGGTGGTCGGGAATGGCGTCCTGTATGGTTCTTACTCCCATAATTCTACTAAGGAATATTCTCTCGAATATTTTAGAGAACGTAGGTAGTAAGCTTATCGGCCTGTATGATCCAACAAGGTTCTCCGGTTTTCCTGGCTTTGGAATCATCGTTATCACGGCACACTTCCATTGGGACGGGAAGTGGTGGATACGTAACATCGAGTTGAAAATGAGAACAAGAAACAGGACTCCCTTTTTAGGGAGAGCCTTAGCAACCCTGCTATCAATGCCATCAAATCCTGGCGCCTTGCTGGAGCGTAGCTTTTGAATATGGAGGCAAACCTCTTTTGGACTTATGTGCTTTATGGGGAGTGCATCCGGAGCAGGAGAGTTGAGAAAGGCCCGAGTGTCAGCGACATCCTCCGAGCTCGCAAGGTTGAATGGCTGAAAGCGTTGCTCTAGTTCTTCGGCAAAAAGCTAATGAGATCTCTGAGTCTGATTTGCACCATGTACCGTCTGTTTTCTTAATTGGGATCTTCCTAAGAGGCTGCCTGCCTTTTTAATTTCCTTGTAGCTTTCCAGAGATTGAAGCCGTAAGGTTTGCTGGGGTCCGCATTGAGAAGCATTTCCTCAAAGAACTCACGCTTGGTTATACGCAGGAGTTTTTTAAGCTCGTCTTCAGTACGTCGATATGCTCTTTTGTCGACTGGATCTTGGGACCTCATAAATCTACGGCGCAATGATCTTTTCAGCCTTACCAAGTCCATAATCTCAGGTTTTAAAAGTGCCTGAGATGGATTGGAAGGTTTGGAGACTTGCCCGTAGGTTGACGATTCCGCAGCGATATGAATGTTCCGAGCAAAAGTTTCAACTGCATCGTCGATATCTTCAGGGGAGTTGAGCACCATATTGAGATTAACAAGTCTGTTAATTACCGCCTGAAACCGCGGAACACTTGCATTACGAGGAAGAATTTGAGGCCGCCGACTAATTTTTAACGCAGCGACTCTTAATGAAATTATTAGTGGAATGTGATCAGAGCTCAGTTCGAAATATTCTGTAATAGAAAGACTCTCCGGGCGTATCCCTCTGTAGACTGCAAAGTCAATGGCTGTTGGCGAATTCTGGCTGTATGGATAATGTGTGGGTCCTCCAGTTGCAAGGACCTGGAAATTTGATCCTTGAACAAGTTCCGCGAGCGCTCTTCCGCGGGAGGTTGAATTTCGAGACCCCAGAGTCGATGGTGGGCATTCCAATCACCAGCGATTATGAAGTTTGTTCCCAGATCGTCAAAGAGTTTTTCAAAGTCTTCGGCAGAGCATTGAAAGTTAGGCGGACAATAAATAGACGCAATAGATATTTCACCAAGGACGGTTTTGACTTTAACTGAGACACATTGAATATTTGGACTTTGTAAACTATAAGACTGGTAACATTGAAGGCAGGATTTTATAATTATGGCAGAGCCACCGCGTTTCCGATCGGCAGGATGGTTCGCTTGATGGGTATCGTAACCATGCATGTTGTAATATGACCTTGAACAAAAGTGTGTTTCACTAACTAGCATAATATCAATATCATGGCTTTGAACAAAGAGCTCTAGCTCAAGGGCTTTGCTAGTGAGACCGTCAGCGTTCCACACACCAATGTTAAGGCCGATTTGACTCATGGTTGCGTTACATGAACCGGGAGAGATCCAGCGAAGGCTTCAGCTCCTCCTAGAGGGTGTTGTGGTAGCAATTTAGAAACAAGACCCATCATCGACACCATCATTTGGAACATCTTGTCAAACTGAGCTACAAGGACCGACAGTCTTTCGTTCGATTGCAAGAACATTTGCTCTTGACGTTGCCATTGAATATCATTGACTGACTGCTGCGTGGTGCGCCGCTGTTGTTGGAGTAGAGATTGCTGTGGGTGTACTTGTTGCTGCTGTAGTTGGGGCACCGGCCGCTCCTGTCGAGGTGGTGCATTGTGATGAAGAGTCGGACTTTGTTTCCTGTTATTGCTGCCCAGCGGAGGAAACTGTTGTTGGCTCTGAGTGGGTGTGGGATAACTAGTTTGTCCACGGACAGCGTTAGCGTAGGAGCTCGGAAATACAGGATTTGTCCGAGGAATGGAGGTAGGTTGCTGTTGGAGAGTGGTGGTACGCCTTGATGTACTAATTTTCCGCCGACTTGCAATCTGCTGATAGACAATACAACCTTTATAGCTAGCTGTATGGTTGCCGCCACAGTTCACACACTTGACCGGATGAACATCCTTTAAGCACGCCTCCAGGCCGTGCTGTAAGCCACATCTGACGCAGTTGTGGAGTTTTTGGCAGTGATTCT